AAAAAAAAAAAAAAGTCAGACACATAATTGACTTAGCCACCCTGGCACCCTGACAATGTAATTTGAAAAGTCAGTGATGAAACATATACAGCACCAATGGGATTTTTCAGCATCAATGGATTTTATTATAGGTAGCTCAACTTCACTCTAGATCTGATAGTTATACCTACACCTTCTAAAACTGTTATTGATAATAACAGATAATACTATTTACCTTGCAACAAATACTGTTCATAATATTAACTCATTTAATAAATTCTTTCCATTTTCATGTGGAGATGTGTTATTACTTGAAAGACTGCACTGGGGCGCCTGGGTGGCTCAGCCAGTTAAGCGTCTGGCTCAGGTCATGATCTCACGGTTTGTGAGTTCGAGCCCCACGTCAGGCTCTGGGCTGATGGCTCAGAGCCTGGAGCCTGCTGCGGATTCTGCGTCTCCCTCTCTCTCTGCTCCTTCCCCGCTCATGCTCTGTCTCTCTCTGTCTCAAAAATAAATAAACGTTAAAAAAAATTTTTTAAAAAAAGGCCTAAAGGAAGTTTGGGATAATGCTAAGATGTGCCAAATCTGGGTTTGTGGCTGTTGGTTAGTATTTTTCTCCGGTCTTTTTCTACATCCTCTAGATACCATCATCGTCATCAAAAAAGCAGAGGGGTGTTTGGTTAGACGTGGGGGCAAGAGCCCGGGCAGCAGTGTGGCATGGGTGTAGCATGGACAAAGGTCCCGGGGCCAGAGCAGAGGCTCAGGCCGCCCTGGGAATCCTGAGAATGGCCTTGTCCCTAAGGGAGGTTCCCAAGACATGGCTGCTTTCAGCTGCGTTTCCAGAACTGTCGAGGCTTGGACAAGGAGTCGCCCCCGAGGGTCCCCTGCAACCACCCAGCCTGCCACAGAGGGCATTGGCACGGCCTGGAAAAGCCGATCGTGCCTTGGGCAGCAAGGGCTGGGCCCGGAGCCCCTGCCCACCCATTCTTTCCGGGTCACCAGCTGCCCATTGTGTCCCTCACACGGGCCTGTTTGCGGCAACTCTGTGGGTGGCCCAAGCCTCTCATTGTCCCAGCACAATGGTGGTGGCTTTGCTTGTGCGAAGAAACCAGGACAGGAAGCCCGATCTAGGCCAGCGCTCCCAGCTTCCTGCTGTCCCCCGGCTGTGCTGGGCCAGCATGCCTTTGTCTCCCTCCAGTCTCAGGAGGCTGGAGGCTGGCCTTCCCAGCA